ATGGCTGGTCGAGAGAGCGGCTATTGTGGAGAGCTCTCAGGAACCAGCTATTTTCAACTGAATGTGCCACACATTCCCTTGCGAACATTGCACCCTCCCTCACACCCCAATGCAACCAACAAAGAGGTGTGGAGGAGGAAGCAGCAGCAGAAACCAAATTGGCTGGACCAGAGGCCAGCTCACTTTCTTGAATGCCTAAGGCAAAGAGAGTGGAGGCAGAAGCAATGTAGCAATGAAAACAGTCCAATACAAGGAGGAAGGAAACAATAACTTTGGTATGTTGGAAGGAAAGATGTGCTATTAACAGAACACACATGTACATACAACCCACAAAGGTGGCCTCTGATGTGGCTGCCTCTACATTCTCCTCTTCCTCAGGACCAGGGATTCAAAAGGGATGGAAGCCATCCTCTGGTGATTCAGGCTCCTATTTGCACTTCTCCTTTGGCATTAAATATGTCTCCTCACTGGTTGTATGGAGGAGGAGGAGATGTGCAGTGCGTATAAGGAGGCCAAGGTGGGGGGACCAGGGACTCCATGAAAGGGGGGCAGTAGTTTGCTTCCCACCATAAGCTGTGGGACAGCTTGAGCAGCCTCTGACAAAGGTCTGCCAGAATCACATCTTTGGAGTACGAATATGATTTCTGTTCCTAACGACATGCTATTTGTAATGTACAGTTTGACCCTCATGATGTCCAGTCAGTAGCCAACTCAGATTTGTCCCATCTTCATAATCGACTACTGCAATAGAATAAAAATAAAATTTTTGTATATTGTTTGAGGCTCTTATATTCTGGACTTTTCATTATCTGTGTGCAGTGCACTGAAAACATATTTTGAAAGGCTGTGTGGAATATGTGGGAAGCACTCACGAAGCTTCCTTGTTTCTTTTTTTCCCCCCTCCCTGTCCTGTAGGATCTTTAGTGCAGAGTTTTCCCCATGATGTCAGGGTATGACTTTTTTGAGTTTGTGGTGCACCCTTTTCATTTCTGTTTTAGTTCTTGCTAGCATGTTTGAATAGCATGGCCGTGTGCCACACAGGAATGATTGGTCCATGTGAAAGAGGCTTTGTGCATGAATGATTATAAGGGTGTGATTCTGTTTTCTGAGCTGTACTAAGTTTCTTACTTGGCTTTACTTGCTGCTCACAAGGGGATCAAGGTAAGTCTTTCATACCGAAGCATTTTGCTAGTGCTTAAAGTTAACATGTTTATCTGCTTCATTTGTGGTCACTTGATTTGGTTTTTTTTTACTGTCAAATAATCTTATAATAAAAATACTAGTTGCCAACTTTGTGACAAGTTAAAATTTCAAAACTAGTTTTTGCCTTCAAGTCTACTGTTACGTAGCGTTGTACTTTCACTTATACCATTAATCTAGTGGATTTTAAATTTTTATCACAAATGATGGATGATTCTTACTGTGTTTAACTATAAAACATTCAAAGCATTTGTCATAACTGTTTTAACATTTAATAAAGATTAATTTTAGTATTGTGGGATTATTGTAAGGAGGAAATTCCCCCGATGTATATTTCTGTTATTACCAGGAAGGCTGTTTTATGAGAGTGGTTAATAATTTAAGCTCAGCAACCTAAGAAACAGATCAGAAGCAACATTTCTAAAGGACTACAGATGCTCCTTCTCATTGTTTTTACTGAAATGTCCCCCCCCTTTCAAAATAGGAATCTGCCTGGGTCCTGTGATTTGATTCAAAGGCCAGCTCAGCATTTGGAGTCTGATACCAGTTTGGTTAGAAGTGATCCAGACCCCATCCAGTTTGGTCCAGACCCCAAATCTCAGTTGATTTAGAGATTGGGATCACCCAATCTCTAAATTGGTTTTGGAAAACCAAAACAACTACATTTGCCCCCCCCACACACACAGATTTATGTGAAATCTGGAAGTATCTTAGAACTTAATAGGAGAGTAAATTTGCCAGATTTCAGACAGCTAGCTGCAGGGATTTGTATCCTGGTTACTTTAAAAATGTGGGTTTTAAAGAGAGATAAACATTATGCAGTTCTTAAAATCATGTGTACTCATCTGAGTGCTCAGTCTTATCTATATAGTTTTTGTCCTCTCGTCTATCTAGAGACTGTAGAAAATTCTGAAGCTTACCCTTAAAGAACTGCATCAAAAAAGCCATTAAAAAAATAAGGAGGGTGAGTAAATGCTGCAGGGAAAGGAATTGCAATAGGGCAAGGAGGTAGCAGGCAGAATAAGTTCCACTACTTAAGGCACACAGAGACTCTTATAAAAGCAGATTTTGCTAGTCAAATCAATCAATCAGAAAGGCAAAGCAAGGATTAGGCAAAAGGATCCTGGAAGCACATTAGCAGGACAAAAGGTAGGGAGGCGACTGTAATTATGCTCACAATACACCGAATGTGACTCCATTTGGAGGCATGTTTTAATCTGACACTGCTAAACCTGGCAAAAGAATAATGAAGACCTGTGTGAATACACAACTCTCAGGGCCTTATATGATTCACTCCCTGTTGTCACTGTGACTGAAGAGTACCGTATTTTTCCGTGTATAAGACGCCCCGTGTATAAAACACCCCCCACTTTTCTAACCCAAAATTAAGAAATCTAAGTGGGGCTTAGCAAGTGGGGGGGGGTGAAAGCAGGGATCAAAGCCCTGCATGATCACTTTGATCCCTGCTTTCCCCTCCACTTATTTTTGTTCTTTCCTCAGCTTACCTCTGTGTATAAGACGACACTCAATTTTTAGTCTAAAGATTTTAGACAAAAGTATAGTTTTATACACAGAAAAATATGGTGGGTTGTGTTCCTTGTTGGGAGAAATGTGGAAGAAGAAGAAGAAGAAGAAGAAGAAGAAGAAGAAGAAGAAGAAGAAGAAGAAGAAGAAGAAGAAGAAGAAGAAGAAGAAGAAGAAGAAGTCATAGTAGTAGTAGAGGAAGGCACTTGGATTTTGGAGCTGGCAATTCCCTAAACTTCAGACCTATATGCAACAAGAAGGGGAAACATTGATAGGCTTGTCCCCTTGTCTCAGGCAGCTAGACATTCTGCAGAACTTGAAGGGTGGAATAGCTAATACCCTGGAAGAAAGAAACAACTTTCAAAATGATCTGGATAGGGCTGAAAAGAACAGAATGAAATTCAACAGGGATAAGTGAAAAGTACAACACTTTGGGCAAAGATACCAAATGCACAGTTACAAGATGGGGGATACCTGGCTCAGCAATACTACAAGCAAGAAAGATCTTGGAATTGTCATAGATCACAAGCTGAATATGAGCCAGCAGTGTGATGTTGCTACACAAAAGGCAAATACTATATTAGACTGCATTAACAGAAGTTTAGTTTTGAAATCCTGCGGGGTTGCATTAACAGAAGTATAGTTTCGAAATCCTGCGGGGTGCTAGTCTCCCTCTATTCTGCACTAGTTAGGCCTCACCTTGAGTGTTGTGCCCAGTTTTGGACACCACACTTCAAGAAGGATGCTGATAAATTGGAACCAGTCTTATACATGGAGGAGGGCAACAAGGATGATCAGGGGGCTGGAAACCAAGCCTTATGAGGAAAGGCTGAAAGAATTGAGGATGTTTAGCCTTGAGAAAAGAAGACAAAGGAGTGATATGATAGCACTTTTCAAATACTTGAAAGGTTTTCATAGAGAGGAGGGGCAGGATCTGTTCTCAGTCACCCCAGAGTGCAAGACACACAACAATGGGCTCAAGTTACAGGAAGCCAGATTTTGGTTGAATATCAGGAAAAACTTCCTAACTGTTAAAGCAGTGTGACAGTGGAATTAGAACTGTTAAAGCAGTGTGACAGTGGAACCAGTTACCTGGAGAGTTGGTGAGTGCTCCATTATTGGAGGCATTCAAGAGAAACTTAGACAACCACCTGGCCGATATCTTTTGATTTGTATCCCTGCATTGATCAAAGGGTTGGATTTGATGGCCTTATAGCCCCCTTCCAACTTCACTATTCTATGATTCTACGATTCTATTAAGACACCAGAATGTTTGTCAGCTGTCCAGCTAAAAATCTGCCCTCTTCCCAGAGATCCCTAGATATATTTAAATGCCTCATAAGGAAAAGTTATAAGATTACTTTTTTTTAAGCACAGGAAACTAATATCTCCACTTATTGAACCATAATCTAAGCCATTCTGGAGGATGGGGGCCTTTTTCTGGGTCATTAAATGTCATCTAGGAATGAAACCATCTGCACAGGGTTTTTGAGTTGCAAGCAGAATAGAGAAGACATAGACTACTTACTGTTTTATCGAGTTCTTAAGTGACAATTTTAAAAAGCTAGAGAAAGAAGTCAGAGTGTATGGATTTTGATTTAAGAAAGGACACTTCTACCTAACCTTTTCTCACATGATCTAAGCCTTTTGGAAAGCCAGTTCTTTTGATTATGTCCATAGAAGTTGATCTTAAACTATTTCTGGAATATTAAGAATTCTCACAACGGGGAACAAGGAGGGGGGAGTGCCACCTGAAGTCTCTCCTTAGCAAGAGCATTCTAATTAGTCTTAATTCCCATAAAGATGAAGCTAACAAAGGCCCAGTCAGCACAGGGGTTTAATGCTTTGAACTTCTGACATCTTGATCTGTAAAAGTAGAATTTTATGTCTTGATGTTACGTAGTCTTCTATTCTCTTAGCCTTAAACAGTCTCACCATCTAGAGAAGCCTGCAGAGAGTGCTGTGTTTCCGTTGTGCATTGCCTTTCTCTTGATGTTTTGTTTTTCTGACTGTAATTATAGTTTGTTGCTTTGTAGGCATTAATTGCTGCTACACTAGAGACAAAAGATTATGAGTCAGTGTAGCTGATACTTTTATAACAAAGCAAAGGAAGGAAAACACAACATATTTTTAGCCCTAAATAAGTATTAAATTAGTAAGAGAAAACCGAGGTCCCATTATTGCCATGTTGCTTCTTCCTCACAACGAAACACAATGGTGCTTAATGGCAACACAGACATCAGAAAACCAATTTATGAGCCTTTAAAAATGGGGAAAATTTGTTCATTTTGGCGAATGGCTGGCTCAAACAATTGGCAAAGCATGAATTCATGTGGGGCTCTTTGACATGATCTGAAGTTACTTTAGATTTACTCTGGTGATTTTAAAATAATGAGATAAATACAATTAATTATTTCACCTTCCTACGAGATAAAACCTTTACAGGAGCGGCAACGTGTGTATTCAAACTGTCCAAGATCTAGTTGAAGGGTTGGGAAGCTTGGACCCAACACGTTTTTGCCTACAAAACATTTTTTTTTAACAGACCCTTTAACATTTGCCATGCGGGGCTGATAGGGGGTTTTAGGCTGATCGGAAAGGCCCACATTAACCCTGCTCTATCTCATTGTCCAGTTGGCACATAGAAGGCACTTTTTTTCCACATGATCATGATATTTCTGTTTCACTTCGCTTCTTACAGGCCACCGGTTAGCAGGGCTCCTCCGCCACCCGAGAAACTGCAAAAGAACAATGTCAACAAAAAAAGAAAACTGGTCGAGGTCAGCTTCGGTCCGCCATTATTTAAATATCCATTCCAATATGTCTGAATCCAAATGGCTCTGCTCTTTGTGCAGCTTCACTTTAAAATGTGTATTTATTCATGCATGTGATTATGCTCCATTTCTGCTCATCTATCCTCTCTAATCAATGTTAATATTCATGACTAAAAGCCAGGAGAGTTCCCTCTAGAGCAGGGGCCCCCAACCCCCGGTCTGTGGCCCAGTGCCATTCTGTGGCCTTTGCAGGACTGGGCTGTGGAGACAGATCTCCCGTCCCCGCACGCACTCCCCCACGCATGCCCACATGGGTGCACGGCCTGCCCACCAGCACGCAAGGGTGCCCCACCTAGCTGCGAGCGTGGGGGTGCCCTGGCCCCCATGCAGGGACCCCCCTCAACTGGTCCATGGTTCAGGAATGGTTGGGGACCACTGCTCTAGAGCACTGAGATCAAATCTCTCTGTTCCTGGACCTTGGAGGTCTACACACCACGCCAGTGAATCTTCACATCTCTTTCTTTCTTTCTTTCTTTCTTTCTTTCTTTCTTTCTTTCTTTCTTTCTTTCTTTCTTTCTTTCTTTCTTTCTTTCTTTCTTTCTTTCTTTCTTTCTAAAATTGGTGTGTTTTTAACTGAAAAAAGTTCCCTCCTATATTGGCCCCCAAAATGGTTTACATTTTTAAAAAAGTATTTGGGGCAAGTATGGATCTGAGGAGTACTGAGAGAATGGCAGAATTCTTCCCTGCATAGGAAACTAGAGGATTTTTGAGCCAAAATAATTGTTTTCATGTACTTAAAAAAAACATTATTGGGGGGTTGCACAGAGCGCTGGGGCCACATGTGGCCAACCCTGTTGTAAGCCATCAACGTTAACAGTTTCAGAGGCACTCATTGCATTTTTATTATGCTGCCTCCGGATGACTTGGATGATATCTCCCATCATCTCCAGCACACATAGCTATTTATGAGAGTTGTCATCCAACATATTTGTAAGAAAAGAAGTGAGGAAGCCATAAGAGTAATTCATTTAACCATACAAATTAAAGTATGTCTACAGAATTATTGCCTATCTGCAAATAAGAATGAAAACAAAAAAGGTCAGTTTTCTATACATTTCTGTACAGTACTTGTATAACTTGTACCTGCGGCATTTTAAATCTGAATCTTTTTCAGTTTAGAGACTTGTAAACTGCCGGTAAAGCAGGGGATACTGCATCTCAAGCTATTTATTTAATAAGCGGCAGTTTTGTAAGCTATACAGTTTTGAAGCTTAAAATAGCAAGTGTTTTTTCCAAACTTCGTAACTAAACTTAATGTACCCTCCCATGTATTTTACTTCTAATGCAGCATTAAAATATTTGAAGCATTTTGTCATTCTTTTACAATAGGTTGCTTGGAGCTAAAGAAAATGTATCTTTTGCAGGGAATTGATCTCTTTTGATGAAAGGTGTCCACTAATTGTTGTATGTTAAGACTTAATCTTTTTACTTTTCTTCTTCTTCTTCCAGGAGTTAGCTTTAGATCATGTATTTGGATACCGTGGATTTGATTGTCGCAACAACCTGCATTACCTCAATGATGGTGCTGATATTATTTTCCACACTGCTGCTGCATGCATCGTTCAAAATCTTTCTACAGGTAATTCTAATAATATGAACAAGTGCTATATATTTTTTCCTGGTGATGGGAATACATGCCTTACATATACCATTCGAATTAGTGTAAATAAGTTCTATAGTTTGGGTGGCTCCCAAGCTATAGAATTCCTTTCCATGAGAGACCAGGTTGGTCCCCTACCTTTTGTTCATCTGCTGGTAGGCAAAGACCTGCCTTTTTAAGGCAGACTTTCAATATGTAAACTGCTGAAGAAGGGGTTTTACGATAATTGTTCTTTCTTTCTTTTTTTTCAAAAAAGTCTGTTTTTAACCATTTTTAGCAGGATTTTATTTCGTGCTTTTTAAAATAACCAACAGCTCAAATCCTGTTTCTTAGCATAAATAAAGTCATAACTTTTTTGTTTGTTCCTTCCCCCCAGTAAACAAACCATGCCTAAGGCGATTTTTGGGGGGCACACATGCATGCTGGCTTGATGTGGGTGTGTGCATGGACATGCCAAGAATCACAAGAAGGATGTTTCTGGGAAGATGTGGCTAAATGTTACAATTTGGCTTCCACTAAGCAACAGGACTTTGGCCAATGTGTTTAATTGTTTTTAATACTGTGGGGTCTTTTTTAACACAGATACCAGCAATTGTTTTAATATTTGCATTTTTAAACCATTTGAAAGGCCTCTAAAGGGAGAAAGGCTGGGTAGAAATCCAACCAATCAACCTCAACTTCTAAGAATTATGTGCTTATTCTAATGCATACTTGGATTAGAACAAGCACATAAAGTCTTCTCTGTATATACATATGTACCGGTACATAAATATTTCAAAACCTCTTAGGTCTCAGAACTACAAAGTAGAATATAGCAGTAATAAAATATACATGTCATACACAAACAGCACATTATGCACAGTGCACAAATATAGACTCCACATATTATCATACAGTGGACATAATCCTACTGGTGGAAGGTTTGCATGGTTAAGCACAGCTAATTGCAGCTAATTAATGAGGTGCCAGGGTCCATGCTGGTTGCACAGTCAGGCACCTAACTAGGCATAAGACTGAGACAAAATTAGCACCTTGTCAATTAGCCACAGCAACGTAGGCACACCATGAAGGGCATTCTGTGTAGTGGGGGCTACAACGCTGAAGACCCTGCTCTGGATGACTGCGAGACAGACCTCCTGGTGCCTCCAGGAAAGCCTCTCCAGATTGGTCTTAAGGAGTGAGTGGGAGTCAAATGGGAGAACACGTCCCTTAGTTTTATAAAGCCCTGGCTTTATACACTAGTAACAACAACTGAAATCTAGCCTGGTGACAAATAAGCAGCCCGTGCAGCTCATTCAGCAGAGGTCTTATCAGTAGGTCGCCCCGCTGAGAAGCATTCTGCACCAGTAGAAGGGCCCTTAAATCAGGGTAGCCAGCCTCAGGGGCAGGCCTCGATGTTCCATTTCTTTTCCTCCCGACCGGGCTATGGGACACAGCAGGTTCAGAAATGGCCACAGGAGGCCCTTTAAAAAGAAAAATATAAACAATACTCACATCCAGTGGTGTCTTGAGTTGTGGTCACAAGTCAAAGCAAAAGGTTGCGACCGGAGCTGATCATAACTCCAATTGGTCGCAAGTCAGGACGGTTTAAGTCGAGGCACCACTGTATAATTTGTTCTTTTTTGTGTGTTCATTTTATTGGGGAGGGATTTTTGCCAACAGCCAGAATGACAGAAACACTTCTTCTGGAGGCTGTCAGGAGTGGAAATTAATATATA